CTTAATCCGTGACTGTTTGTGGGACACTGCCGCGTTTCGCCCACAAAATATACAATCAATTCACTTCATAATATATTCTGTGAAGCACTTTGAGACGTCTCAACCGACACTAACAAATGCTGGGATTATTATTATCATCAACATTATTATACTGAACGCATCTCCTATCCCCGATCTAATTTGTTGGGTAACCCCACCACTTTTTTGCGCAGTGAACAATGCAAAGCGTTTCAGCTCTGAGATTTTTGTAATTAACTGCCCGCTCTCCGTAAATATTGTAATGTTTCAATAATTCCTTGTAGAAGGCAAGAAGTGAAGCGTCCTGAAGGTCACAGGTGCGATGATTTCTGCTGTAATCCACCCTTCTGGGGTCTTGGCTTTGTGCCGCCACCACACTGCTCAGCGGCAAGAATTAAATGTCTCATGCAGAAAATTGTTGGGTTCCTTGCCAATTATTCGCCCACAAAACACACAATAGTTGTATTTGATAAAGTGCCTCATCATGTAGCAATATGTCTCAAAACATTTCGCAGGATGTTACCACGGGTGATTTTTACTGTAAAGTGTAGTGATTGTATTTATTTTGTAGGCTAATTTAATAGACAATTTGCACACAGCAATGTCCCACAAACAGGCGTGGAGTCAATATCTGGCGTAGTGGGGTGTGGGGGAAAATGATCACCCACAAAACACACAGTCACCGCCCTTCACTGTATATCCTGTGAAGCGGTTTGGGACATTCTCCTGATGTGAAAGCATTGTCCAGGCTTACACTTAGTTCACTGTAGTGCTGAATGTGTGTGGTCGGAAGTGCTGTCATTCAGATAAGCTGTTAAAACCAGGTGGATGTTGAAGGACCCGTGACACGACTTGAAACTGGAGGGGAGTCTCACCCGGTATCCTGGCAACCCACGATCCCCCAACTAAAACGAGAGGACCCGGGTTCGATTCCAGGGTAGGGCGAAACCTTAGCCAATTTTCTTTCCTCCACACGCCTCTGTTTACCGCAGTAAGTAGGAACCCACTTGCTAGTCGATTAGCAGATCGCTTTCTGGGGTAATATCCCTTCAAAAAGAATGTGGTCACTCAATCCACGACTGTTTGTGGGACACTGTTGTGCACAATTGGTTGCTTTACAGTATACACTTTACAGTATATTCTGTGAAGCGCTTTGAGACTTCTCAAAGACATGATAAGGTGCTACATGAAAAGAAAAGTATTATTATTTGCTCTCGTCTACACAACCAAACTCGCATTTCGAGAAGAATGTAAGACTCGGGAATGTATCTGCTTCTGTCACTCCTATTTCCAAGTTAAGTGTGATGACGGCATAGAAAGTAACTTCTTCCTTCACTTGTAGATCATCCTTCAAGTCTGAATTTGTATTGGGATGATTGTTTAGTCAAAGCTGACACTCCAATGTAGTGTGGGGGCGGGGGGCAGGTGTGCGTGCGTGTGTATCTGTGGGTGCTGCATCATCAGAGGTTCCATCCTTCGTGTGAGACTTAAATCCACAGTGCTACTTAGCCTAAGAACGTTACAGATTCCACACCACTATCTGAAAAGAGAAGGGCATCTCCATTTGTATATCCTATCTAGCATCTTGCTAGTAAAATTAGTTATTCGCCTCATGACCTGTGTGGAATTAATTGGCTGCCACGTTGAAGTAAAATCCTGCGAAGCACTTTGAGACACCTGTTGTATCAAATGGCATCATTACTATTACATTTGGAAAAATTGCTGGTCAAATGGTTGCCCCGTTGTCAACAGAGCACGACCGCTGACTAACTCACTTCGAAATGATGCAGTTTTTTCTTCCTTACTGCAGTGAATGGTGAGGGGGGGTGTTGGACTGGTGTTGGCTCTTATAAATGAAATGTAGACAGCTGGAGATAAACAGGCAGGGCTCAAAACAGGAGAGGAACTGTGGAATGGATTTGCATTTGGAAACGGTTGGTTGCACAGACTACTTTACTTACCGCTTTGTATCTTCTGTGCATTGTCCCTTAAAAATGAGAGATTTTAGATATACAAATGTAATTTTGTTGTTGTTATAGCCCTCACCTTCAGATCAGAAGGTTGTGGGATCAAATTGAATGACTGGACCTGAGCGCAGCCATCCAGGTTGTTTGAAAACGTTTGGAAAAAATGAAATTGTGAATCTTTTTTTCAGAATCTTCGCAAATGTTTGCTCAATTTTGTTATTTATAGAGAATTGAATAGGAATAGTTGCTTGAAGAGGAATGTGGAAAGCTCTGAGCACGGAAGTAATTAGGTGACTCATGAGAAGGAAAAACACCAATGTATTCCTGATGGGCTCAAGTAATTGTGTGTGGGTGCCTATGCTCACATACTGAGATGGGTGTAACAATGAACTTAAAGTTTATCTTATTGATCAATTGAACCATCTTTAATCATCTTGCATACTGTTACTGAATCATGCAAACCAGGAAGCTCTCTCTATTGTACTGTTTAAATCCACATGATTCATGATGTTATGAGGAAACTGCAAAGAAAAGATTAGTGATACACTTCCTTATCAGACTACAGCATCACAAAGTGCTTCAGAGAATTACTGTTAAGTGCAGTAGTGGTTCTGTTTTAGACGATCGCGACAATGGTTTGTGCCGGCAAAGTCCCAGAAACAACAACAACAAAATTACATTTCTACAGCGCCTTTCACATCGGGAGGACGTCCTAAGGCGCTGAACAGTCAGGGATCAGGACCTGAGCATAGGGGAGGTAGGGTTAGGATGAGGAAGGGCAGAGAAGGTAGGAGGGCAGCTGAAGGCACAGTCAAAAAGGAGGATCTTGAGTCGTGCCTTGAAGGAGGCAAGAGAGAGAGTGAGGATAAGGGATTGTGGGATGGAGCTCAAAAGAGTGGGGGCAGAGAGGCTGAAAACCCGGCTGCCGAGGGTCCAGCGGGAGACTTGAAGCAGGCCAGACCTGCTGAGCGGAGGGAGCGGACAGGTTGACAGGGAGTCAGCAGGTCAGAGATGTAGGAGGAGTCAAGGCCGAGGAGGACCTTGAAGTGAGGACAAGGATTTTGATTTCTAGCCTCTGAGGGATGGGGAGCCAGTGGAGCCAGGTGAGGTGATGGGGTCACGGAGCCTGGTGGGGGAGAAAACGCGAGCTGCAGACTTCTGGATGATCTGCAGCTTGTGGAGGGAAGAGTTGGGGAGGCTGACAAGGAGTGAGTTTCCATAGTCGAGCCTTGAGGTGACGAATGCGTGTATGAAATGGCCATGAAGTGAAATACCAATACATTCTGGTGGATTGCTGCCCAATCTCCCCTTTATTCACCCTCCTCCCACAGTTTGTGTCCATGGTCCTTTAACACTTTAACCATTAACGTCCACCTGAGGAAAGGGTAGACAGGCCTTGGTTTAACATCTGTGACATCAGGACTAACTGATAACTAAATGCATTGTCAGACTCCGCCACTGTCAAGCGCTCCGGGACACTACCCCGAGTGAAGGGAGCTATATAAATGCTTGTTGTTCTTGTGTTGGATAGTTCACAAGAATTGATACTTAACTCCCCAAATCCCCATTGGTGGCTGAGCCTTCAGTCGCTGCCACCCTCACATCTGGAACTCCCTGTCTTGTATTTCTCCATCTCAGACCTTCTGTTTGTCTATAAATCCTACTTTAGGAAAGTGTACCACTTTGACCGATCCTATGGTTATTACGACTGAACAGCCCGCTGTCTCAGTTCCCAAGTGGAGTGGCCCCCTTAACCGAATGGGAATGGTCTTGAAGGCTGATTCTTTCTTCTCTTCCCACTACTAAACTCTTACTTCTCAAAAGATTTACAAAATATATCATCACGGAAACAAGCTACTCGGCCCAACCAGTCCATATTTGTATTTATAGTCCACACACGTCTCCACCCATTCCTTACTCTCACCCACATCCTTCTATTCCCCTTTCCCGCACGTGAATAGCTTCCTCTTGAATACACCTATACTACCACTTTAGGCAGCGAGTTCCATAATCTGCATGAAATATAGATAGTTCCTCTTACATTCTCTTTTGGATCCCCTAGTGACTATTTACAGATTGTCCAACCAGTGGAAATGGCCTTTTTATGATAATAAAAATAATAATAATAATCCTTGGATTTGCCTTGTAACATCATTGAGCCATCTCAGAGCACTTCACGGAACAATGAATTGACTGTATATCAATTGTGAGCAAAACGGGGCAGGCAATTGCTCACAGGAGGGTCCCACAAACAATCAGGGATTGAGTGACCAAATTATCATTATATATGTTTTGGAGCTATTAAGTGATCTGCCAATTGACTCACATGGTCACTCAATCCATGATGGTTTGTGGTTGCTGCATTTCGCCCACAAAATATACAGTCATTCACTTTACAGTATATTCTCTGAAGCGCTTTGAGACGTCTCGAAGACGTGATAAGTATGCAAATGCAAGTATTATTATTATAACAACCAGGTTCTAACTACTGCAAGGTAAACAGAGGCTTGTGGAGTAAGGAAACTTGCCTAAAGTTTCGCCCTGCCTGGGAATCAAAATTACGTCCTCTCGCTTGCAAGGCGAGTTGAGCTTATCAAACCCTTTTTTGATTTTAAACACTTCTAATAGGTCCCCACTTGTAAGATTGTGCAAATCTGTTCAGAGCCAGTCTACAGGAGTTGCTTGAGAGGGTGGGGACGCTTCCACTTAGCTGCAATACACCTTCCCTTATCTATTGTGAAATCATTCAACTTCTGGCTTTTTAAAATAGGGATGTCCTTCCAACTTGAAAGGTGCTCTGTAAATGTAATTTGTTATTGTAGGAGGGAGAGAGGCAAGGAGAGGTGGGCAAAAGCTGGGTTATTGAACGAAGCCTCAGGATGTTTGAACAATCTTGTTTTCTCAATCATTAACTACACCTGGCACTTAACCTTCAATGAGCACTCCTGGAATAGCCTCAGCGTCACTGTAAGGTGTGGTTTATTTTCATGGCAAATGACGCTGTCCAACTATATTCAATGCAGGCTGTTGTGTAAGAGGAAGCTTTGAGCGAGTTTCAATACACTTGCACACACATACACACGCACGCACACATACAGCATGTGACGGGATCTCTACTGAACACAGTTCCAGCAGGTCGGGTAGAAATCCTTACTTGGTTCAATCTGGCTTTGTTTTTGTAAACTGGGATTATAAACTTTTTAGGAAAGTGTGGATTCGTCTCGAAATTGTTCTGTAGTGCTGCTGCCTCTGAGTTGCATTCAGCTTGTCAGGACGCTGGTGATCAGAGCAGAACCATCCTGGTAAGTTCCTGACTTGTGTTTCCTTAACGAGGGCTTTCTTTAGTCGCATGGTTCGTTCTCCCGACTTTGTATTTTATCAAACTCCAATGTAACTTTCAGAGAGACGTTTCACCTTTGCGTGGCTATTTGCCAGGTCAGCCTGTTCAGCAGCAAGCGATTCAAATTGCCTGAAGGGTTAAGTGATTGCAACTTTTTACAGTGCAGTGTCAAAGATCAGGCTGGGCGTTCATATCGGAGCACCTTTAACAGCGACTTGCCTTCAAAGCTCCTTCCTACCTCTGTGACCGACTAACTCCATATAGACCTCTCCGCTCTGCGGTCTCCGGCCTGCTCCACGTTCCCCCGCCAAACCCGCCCCACCATCGGCAGTCAGACTTTCAACCTCTCTGACCCCACCCTTTGGCACGCCGTACCACGGTCCCTTCCTTGCCTACTTCAAGGCCCGTCTCAAGACCCTTCTCTTTGACCGCGCCTTGGGTTATGCTATCACTTCAGGAGGACTTCCCAAGGCGCTGGATAGTCAAGGATTTGCAACTGAGCTGGGGTTTGGGATCAGGAGTTGGAGGGCAGGGAAGATAGGAGGGTGACCCACAAAATTTACAGTCAATTAATTTTACAGGATATTCTGAGAAGCATTTTGAGACGTGTCGAAGACGTGATAAGGCTCTATATCAAATGCAAGGATTATTATTATTGTTGAAGGAGATAAGGGGGGAAGTGAGGCAAAGGGGCTGTGCAATGGAGTTCCAAAGAGTGGGGGTAGAAAGGCTGAAGGCCCGTCCGCCGAGGGTGGGGCGGGCTAGGCGGGGGATGTGGAGCAGGCCAGAGCCCACTGAGCGGAGAGGTTGGACAGTTTAATAAGGCGTTAGCAGGTCTCAGAGGTAGAGAGGAGGGCCTGGAAGATGAAGACGAGGATTTTAAACTCTATCCTCTGGAGGATGGGGAGCCAGTGGAGCCGGAGAGGGTGGAGTTGATAGGTTCACGGAGTCTAGTGTGGGAGAGGACACAAACTGCAGAGTCCTGGATAATCTTCAGCTTTGTGTCGGATTGTATATTTTGAGGGCAAATAGTAATCTTTTTTTGTTTTTGGAGGGATTATTTATGGAGTAAGGAAACGTGTCGGGAATCAAACACGGGTGCTCTTGCTTGCGAGACAAGTGCTCTAACTACTACTTACAATTACTCTGTAAACTAAGGGAACGCGGAACAAATTTTCTGGGCGATCTAAGTGTACATTGATAGAAGCGGGTGGGTTATGAGACCACTGTATCTTCTCTTGGGACTAGAGTTGCTGGTTGCTGTAGTAACTCACTACGTTGGGAATGTCTGTATCACAGCAACATTTGTGATGTTTACTTAACATAGATCAATCCCAGCGGAAGAGCTGAGCCAGCAATATCAGGATGGCGTGTTTTTACCCCTAATGATAATAATAATGATCAATGCATTTGATATAGCGCCTTATCACGTCTACAAGACATCTCAAAGCGATTTAGAGAATATACTGTAAAGTGTAGAGGCTGTATATTTTGTGGGCGAAATGCGGTAGCCAATTGTGTCCCATAAACAGGCGTGGATTGAGTGACCAATTTATTATTATTATTTTTAAGGGATTATTACCCCTAGAAAGGATCCGCCAATCAACTAACAACCGGGTCCCTACTTGCGATGTCTGTTTTTAATACAAAAAAATTTTAATCCAGCAAGTGTTAATGCCTCTACTTTTTTGTTTTGTGCTCAACACAGGTGCCTGCTCCAATTCCCTCCGCACTCTCAAACCCAAGAGAGAGATTTATTTTAAATCAAAATAAATTGTAACTTATTTTTTTCGTTGTTCCAGCTGCCGGTCTATTTGCTGTGGCATCTGAAATCTTGTCGCAAATTCATTTTGTTGATCTGGCTCAGTTGGTAGTTTTTTTTTGGCAGCCGGTGGTCTGACACATGGGGAAATCCATCACCGTTGCTTAAGAGTATCCAACCCAAACTGCGAATTCCATGCTTCCCATCTACACGTGGAAATCCCACAGACAGATTGTTGGAATGGAATGTGTGCTCTCTCCGTGGAGGGACTCATTCTGCTTACCTAATTCCGGAAAGTATTAGGCACAGGTTGGCAAGAGCCAAGGCTTGGGGACCCAGAGTGTGCGTTGGGGTACCTGCTGGAGTCTAACCAGCTAAAACCACATAGCTCGTCATCAATATTGCTGTCTGACAAGCTTTCTGCTACTTGGCCAGTTAGGACCACCCTACCCTTTAGGGCTTTGGCTTGCCAGGCAGGGCGAAACCTTGGGCAAGTTTCCTTACTCCACATGCCTAATAATAATCCCTCCAAAACCAAAAACAATAATAAATTGGTCATTTTCAATCTACGACTGTTTGTGGGACATTGCTATGCGCAATTGGCTGCCTCGTTCGCCAACAAATATACAGTCAATTCACCTTACAGTGTGTTCTGTGAAGCGCTTTGGGACGTCCTCCCGACGTGAAAAGCGCTATATCAAATGCAAGGATTATTATTATTATTATTGCAGGGTTAATGGGAGCTGAGTGGGATGTGGAATGACTCCCTGCCCCAGTGACTGGTCTGTCAATTGTTAGCACACTTGACTCTGAATCAGAAGTTTGTGGGTTCAAGCAATAACATGAGTCTTTGAGCTCACAGTCTAACATGACAATTCAGCGAATGCAGCGTTAGGGGTTTTCTGGATTGTCAGAGGTGCCATCCATCAGATGAAAAGTTAAACCCAGGTCCCATTTGCCTGTTCAAATGGAAGTTAAAGGTCCACAACTCTTTTTTTTAAAAATGAGAGAAGTTTCTCCCGTTGTCCTGGCCAACAAAAAAAATTGTTCACTCATTTCATGGCTACTTATGGAATGTGGTCACCACATCTTTCAGGAAATTCTTGAGTGATGAGACATATACTAAATACAAGGATTTTTGTAATATTTTATTATAGTACAATAAACTGTCTATGGCTATCTTGAGTCCAGTCCAAAAGGCTTGATGAATCTCAGCAACCTGTAAAAAAAAGTCAATAATTAATAAAGATAATTAACAGCAAATAACTAATAATAACCCATGCGTTTGATACCATTTGATATTTATGTCTCAAAATGGTTCACAATAACAACCACAAAATTACATTTGTATAGCGCCTTTCACGTTGGGAGGACATCTCAAGGCCCTGGATAGACAGAGTTTCGGACCCTAGCTGGGGGTTGGGGTCAGAGAGGGTGGAGGGCACGGTGGAAAGCAGGGAGGTCGAAATAGTGGGGCAAGGAGGGGACGTGAAACAGGCTGGATCCTGCTGAGCGGGGGGAGCTAACAGGATGGTAAGGGGTTAGAAGGTCGCACAGGTAGTGGGAAGCAAGACCATGGCGGGCTTGGAAGGCGAGGACCACGGTCTTGAACTTCCTCTGTGTGATGGGAAGTCAGTGGAGTTGGTCGAGTTGGGCATGATGCAATGTTGCAGAGATGGGGGAAGACAGAGGAAGTCATGGCACAGATTTGGGGTAGAAAGGATAGTTGAGGGTCAAACGAGATCCCAAGGTTCTGGACTGGCTTAGTGAGGTTGAGTGTGCAACCATGGATGGTGACACTGTCAGTGCCTGAGGTGTGGAGGCACTGATGGGAGTCAATCAGGAGAGCCTCGGTCTTGTTGACATTGAACTGAAGAAAATTAGCTCTCATCCAGGACTTGATGTCTGACTGACATTCTATCAGGACTGCAGTGGTCCTGGAATCAAGGGTGGAGGCAGAGAGATATAGTTGGGTGTCATCCGCTTACACATGTTGACCCCACATCTGCGGAAGATGTCACCAAGAGGGACCATGTAGATATTGAAGAGGAGGGGAAGGACAGAGACCTGAGGTGCAGAGTCTAGAGGAGAAACCATTGTCCAGATGAAGTGGAGGCAGTGTGAGAGGTACGATCTGAACCAGTCGAGGACAGAGTCATGAAGGTTGAGGTGAGAGGAGACGTGGTGGATGAGAATGGTCGACAGTATCGAAGGCAGGAGAGGACGAGGAGGCAGAGGAAGCCCTCGTCGCAGATGGACAGAATGTCATTTGTCACTTTGACCAGTGCTGTTTCTGTGCTGTGGGTGGGACGAAAACCCGATTGGAGGGGTTCGTGAAGGGAATGGCAGGAGAGGGAAGGAGCGAAGCTGGGAAGCAACAGGGTTCCTGGGAAGGGATGGGGTCAAGGGACCAGTTGGTCAGTTTCATGCGGGTTATAGTGGTGGTGAGAGAGAAGTGGGAGACAGGTTCGAAGATGTGGAGGGAGGGATGGGTAGGGGATGGGAGGGGAGAGTGCAGCAGACGGAATTGCAGAGGCAGCTGAGTGGATCCCCTCGATTTTTGATTCGAGGAAATCTAGCATTGCCTCGCAGTTGGCAATTGAGGTGAGGATGGGCAAGGCGTGAGAGGGTGGGCAGAGGAGTCAGTTGTTGATGGAGAAGAGGAGACTGGGGTTGTCCTTGGCCTCCAAGATTCTCTTGGATTAGAACAACGATTTAGCAGAGGCGAAGGTGGAGTGGTAAGATTTGAAAAGTTCTGGCCAGATCTGCCAATGAACTGTTAAGTCTGATTTAAGCCAGGTGCACTCAGCGGCACACACCTGTGCTTCAAGGGAGGGGAGTTGGCTGGTGTACCATGGTGACTTACGTGAACAGGAGATGGTTTGGGAAGACAGGGGAGCAAGGGAATCGAGAGTGAAGGAGAGAGAACTTGGAGAAGAGTGGCCAAGGAGGATAAGTCATTGCAGGAGGAAGTCAAAGGGGAAGGAGTTCAGATGACTCCAAGGCATCTGAGAGGGAGGGAGGGGGAGATTTTTTTCCAGGGCAGTAGGAGATCGAGGTGGGTTGGGTGGCAGTGGGGAGAGGGATTGAGGAGTTAAGGGAGATGAAGTGATGGTACAAGATTGCTTTGATGGTGAAGTCTGAGATGGTAAAGCCCCGAGTGATCACCAGATCGAGGGGATGACAACAGATGTGGGTGA